ATGTTAGAGGCAAGGACCCTCAAAGACCCTCAACTCCCCTATGACTCGTCCTATGCACGGACTTCGCCCTGGAAAATTCCAGCTATAGCTCCGAGAAGAATGCAGTCCATGACGCGCTGACCACGGAATGCTCCAGGATGTGTTGACTGCAAATGTTCCGGTTGGAGATGAGTAATCAGTCAAAAACAGGATACTGATAAGACACTGATTAGGGCTAATCAACCCAGACCCAAGCCTCATCGTCACCATTCTATTTTTTATTTTGACTTCCTTGTTTTTGTATGCTTATAAAAGCCACTAAAAATCTAAGTAAAGCAGACCTTGACAACCATTTGCTTGGTCTCGTTTCTCTCTCTCGCTCATCTCTTTCAGGCACGGTCCCCCTCGCCCCCGCGAGTAACAGAAGGTCCCGCAGGCCGGGACAAATTGGTACTAATGGATCAACACTAATGTGCTCACATGGTAGTAATATTCATTGGGTGCCGGTCAGGTGGAGGGGGGTGGGAGTGTAAACTCACAACTAATGGGGGCTGAGAACACTGTATGGGGGAAGGGCACACTTGTAGCCCTGGCTTGGGTGAGGCAAAGCCATTACATATAACCAAAATATATGTACCTCCATAATATCCTGAAATTAAAAAAGGAAAAGTGCCACTTGCAAATAAGGATATAAACATCCCACTTGAAATATTAGCAATGAAATCCTTCTCAATTTGAGGCAAGGATAGAAAAGACATGTTCTGCCCCTGGCCACACATAGAAAAAGTCAGCCGACCACATCATCTGATTGATGAAACACCATGAAAACGTTGATGAGAAGCCACCAAAACAACCTGAAGTGTAGAAATTTCAACTTTGCCTGTGTAAGACAGCTTGACCTTCATAATCCATGTGCATTATGCCAGGTGAATGACTCAGGCCATGTTGGGCCATTGCTCCTTTTTTTTTATATATAGAATAGTATAAATGTTTATTTTCTGTATGATTTACTTTGCTGTCCTGTTTTTACAATATAGAAAAGTGTATTCTTTGAATAGCTCTAGTAAATATAAATTTAATCTTTCTACTTTGGGATGTAAATAGAGCTAAAAAATTATATACCCAACCCTCCCCCAAATAGTCTTTTAAAATCGTTGAATTAATGTGGCTATTCATCTCGTTCAGCAATTTGATGCAAATGCCTAAATACAAAAAGTTGTTCAGTAAGTACTACACAGGAAGGAAAAGGCTTAATATCTTAGATAGCTTCTTAGAAATCAGAAAAATTAGTAGCATTTGATTGCACCTTCAAATTTTTACAAGCAAAACATTCTTAAGCAATGCCATCATACATAATCTACAATTGTAATCAAAATTTCACAAACATTTTCTGCACACTGTATATAAATACACATCACAAAGGTGCAATTAGAATTAACACAGAATATGTACAAAATGAACAAAGTTTAGGTTTAGACCAAAAACTTATTGCAATCTTTTGAAAAATAACTTGATTAGATATTTTATCCTCTTACACTAATTTACATTTATACAAATTTTAATTAAACATATTAGATTGAGGTGCTAAGAATGTTTGCACTATCTACATTGAGAGTTACTGCACTATAATTTTATAAATCCAAATTTCAAAAGGAAGATACTTTAATGCATAACGGAATCCTCTTTTGGATTACTTAATTTCTATTGCCTATATCTTGCATGTTCATATGAACATATATACACACTTAATACATACAACTATGGAGTCCTTATAGGAAATGTAATAATCATATACTAATAATCACTGAAGATTACGGTACCTAACAAAATGCCTGAATTCCAACATGGTTTTCTGTTGTCATAAAATCAAGAGTCCTATCATAATAGGCTCTTAAATTCATAGAGTTTTTGAATTACTGAAAATGATTTAGATTACTTTAGTAATTATAGAGAAATACTCATACCTGCAGCTTACCAAATCACTGGCTAAAAATAATGCCACACGTCCCTTTATAAAAAGAATTTTTCCCACTATAATTTTGAAAGCTTTGCTAGGAGGCCCTTTCAGGAAATCAAGTAAGAGTCATGCATCAGTTTGAAACCTGTTAGTTTAAAAGTCTACAAAGAGAACTATTTGTACAGATGAAAAATCCTTCTCCAATTCATCTCTCACAGCTTCAGTATTCTGTTATTTCTTCAGCTAGGCCAAATTTTAGACTTGATAATAATGTGAGGTTCTAGGTCATCACTACATAATGATATGTTCACTTCTACTTATACACACCTCTCATTTTAATAGTACCCAGTAATCACTTTGACAATTTATTATCGTTTCAAGTACATACCACCTCTTTGAAAGAAAATGGGAGACATCCCCATTCCTTATTCCAGAAATATATTGCCCATCCTCTGAGAATTATTTACTGTCCCTTCATATTTTATGTTTTAAAAAAAAAATTTTTTTTTATTTTAAAAGTGCACCCAGGGATGGCTTCCCCTTCTGACACTCCCAAAGTGACAACAGGATATTATTCCAGGATCCAACCTAAAATGCTGATTTTCCTTTAAAAGACAGCGCTTTTTCTAAATGCAAAACGTCATCTCTATATGTTTCATAAGCATTTGCTTATGAAAGGTGGACATTCTACCTGGACACATTCTAGATCTGGTCCTAAAGAATGACTGGAGAGCAAGCACTGCTGCTTTGGCTTTTCCTACTGAACAAAGTCATACAACACCGTCCATTATAAATTAGAGTAATTTATAAATGTTCTTTGTCGACAGAATCAGAAGGATAGAACATCTAATTCTGAAGGAACCCAAGCAAATTAAAAATCTATATAAATACAATAAAGGAAAATTCAATTTAGAAGGGGCATAAGCAGATTCCACTAATAAGGGTTAAAACATACTAATTTCCTCATTTAAAACTCTTTTTTCTCTTTCAATATTATGGTTTCAGGTCTCTTAAAACAAGGACTGAATTAAAATACGGTAATTGTTAAGCTATCTTCCAGAAAAACCAAGTGGCCCTGCACCTTCAATTTTCTGTGCCGTTCCACTGGTCGGTGTTTCGCGCGGGAGTCAGCAATTCATGGCACAACGGTCGCTTTTTGCTTTGCCCGCCGAGCTGATGACACTCATCAAACATCGTCCGAACTCCTCGAGTATCATGCGCTCAGCTGCGGCCTTGGACTTGCCCTTCTTGTCCGCCTGCTCGGCCTGCGCCAGGAGGCAGTTGCACATGGCTTCGGCGACTTCCTTAGTGACAAACGTGAATGGCAACTTCCCCCCGCCGCTGCTCAGCGCGGGCGCGGGCCTGGTGAGCAGGTCGGAGATCTGGGAGGACAGCTTGGTCTTCGCGGCCGTCTGCTGCTGCACCCGGACCTCGGCCGCGTCCGCCAGGTGCATCAGGGTCTTCCTTTTGGGGCTTTCTTCGAAATTCTTACAGCCGATGCATTTGCATATGGAGGAACACATTATTTTTGCCTCGTAGCATTCGCAGTAGTTCTTGAGACAGCCCGAGCGTTTGCAGTTGCACCCCTTGCTGTGACGCCGGTCCGACTCGCCCTCCTTCCCTTTCCCTATCTTAGGCTTAAAGGCTTCTGGGTTTCTGTCTAGGCAGGCCTTTATTGCCTTTTGCCTTTCATTTTCATGTTCCAAATTGTTATAACAATTAGTACAATTGCAGTTATTGCAGAATTCGCCATTTGCAAAGCAATCACAGTATAATTTCAAACACAGGGACTTTGTACAATTACAGGGCTTTCTGGGCCGACTGGCAGACTCTGACGGGATTATCCCGTTGAATGGAAGCCGTGCCTGGGTCTGGATACCAGAGGGGCCGGTGAAGTTAGAGTTGCTTGCTATGGACACATACGAAGACTGCTGCAGCTGAGTCACGTACTGCGCTGGAAGCACCGCGTAACCCACGTTGCCCGTCCCCGGGGCCGGAGCCAGGACGGTGCCGGGCGGCAGGTTGGTGAGGTTGGGCTGGATCTGGGGCAGTGGCGTGGCAGGCATGATGAGCCGCTGCTGCGGCTGGCTGGTGGTCACTATCTGCGACGTTGGGTTGATGGGTTTGGGGACAACTTGTTTGACAGTCTGAGCTGAGACGATTGGAACTGACATCCTCACTGGAGTTGTGTTGACAACCACTGGCTTTGCTTGCTGGAGGGACTGGGTGTTGGTGCTGGCGTTCTGACTGACAGGCGGGGCGGAGCTGCTGGCCATGGTGGCCGTAACCAGCCGCACATAATGGAACTTGCTTCCAGGCACTTGGATCTGCTGGATGTTGGGAGCGGTCGCCAGAGCGATGATCGTCTTAAACTGTGACACGCCCACCCCTCCCACAGTGATGGTCTGCACGGCGGACTTCACGGCCTTATTTGGCGATTTCAAACGTGAGATGGCTATTTTATTTGGTGTCTGTGTTGTAGAATTTAAAGTTGATCCGATAACACCACTTTCAGATATTGTTATGGTCTTTGATGGAGTTCCGGGAGTGGATTGTGAGAGAACCCTACCTGCAATGACCGGTGGTGACACTTGAGTTGTCTGTCCTGTAACCGCTTTACTATTAATTGGTTTTGCAAAGATCAGCTTCGTGATTACTGGACCAGAGGTTGGTGTTCGAGGCTTCTTAGCAATCTGTACTGTTTTTAACTGTTGGGTCTGTAACACAGAGGGCTGGGCTGTAGTGTTAATCAGTTGACTTCCTGAGGTCAGTGCCGAGACACCAATGACAGGTTTCACCTCTGGCCTCCCTCCAATGGTCACTACTTTAATTTGCTACGCTGGTAACTTAGCATCTCCTGACTGGGCCTGAGCTGGAACTTTTGGGGCCTGGGGCAGCTGGCTATGGGGCAGTGCTAAAACAATCGGCGAGCCAGACTTGCCCAGAGCTGTTAGAATTAGCTTCTGTCCGTCTGGTTTAAGGGTCCGATTGCCGAGCTCAAGGTCGGATGTCTGCGGTACTTCGTTTAAAATAATCTGATTGGCTGAGATGGTCACAGGAGTCTGAGCACCAAGTTTCTGAAGGCCACTTGGGAGAGCTGGTTTCACTGCGCTGCTGGGGTCTGCTTGAGGGGCTGCGGCGCTCGCTGCCGCTTGGTCAGTGTGGTTGCTGTACCCCGCGACGGCCTCCGTGCAGACGGGCGCGGCTGCGGAATTTATGCTGACGATTTCTTCCAGCTCTGTCTCCATGGGAATTGGGGACGAAACAATGACAGCGTCAATACTATCATCATCCACTAAAGTTATACCCGTGTCCATTATCTCCTCTGGAAGCAAGCTATTCACCTCGGCCAGCACCACCTCCATGACCGTGCTCCTGCTAGGACGCCGACCGGGCACCGAGCCGGCGGCGCCGCCGCCTCCTCCCCGCGCGGCGCTCCCCGCGCTCCCGGCACCCGCGGCGGCGGCGGCGGCGGCGGCGGCGCCTCCGAGACACAGACCGGGGTTTGTTCAAAATCACGCGCCCAGCGCCATGCCACCGCCGCATCCCATCGGGCCATTGCTCCTTTAACTAAGAATCTACTTTTGTCCTGGGCTGACCCATGTAGCTTAAGCAGGAATTATTTGACATAGTCACTAAAGTACTCTTGGAAGTCAAGGAAGATGGCTATTCAAATACTGGTTTGGGTTCCTAACAAAACTCTCAGTAATTGGTAAAAGTGGAAATGAAAAAACACAGTGTCTATACACAGAACACAAACAGAAATGGAGACTTTTTTTTAAATGTAAACATCGTGAAACATTTACAAAGGCTAATTTTTTTCCTTCTCATTACTTCGGTCATAAAAAATACTCACACATTGGAATGGTGAATATAAATAAATTGTTAGTTGAAAAAGATCACCGTAATTCTTTAAGAAAGCACCATAGGGAGAAAAACAAAACAAATAAGTGGAAAAAACTTTGTAATTAAAACATATCCTTTTCAAGATTCTATGATAATACTTGCAAAGACATCCCTTAAATGTCTTAGTGCATAAAATTGAGTTACAGAAACTGAACCAAAAAAAGAAAAATATGTAAGAAGAAATGAAGGTCATCTTTAGTCATCATGCTAAATGGTCAGGCTTCCAAGGAGGTTTTCTGTCAGACCTGCACGGAGTAGCTAATTCTGATGATAATAAAGCAGTTCCAGATTATGAAGGGGAAAAAACCTCATTTATTTTTCTAAAAAATATGTAATGATCATGCTACTGAAGAAAGCATCATAATCTCATTTCTGAATAGTCCCTCTAACAGATGAGGACATAAAATCCTACTTGAAATATTGTCAACCAAATCCTTCTCTTAATTTTATGTAAAGGACAAGAGACATGTCCATTACAATCTCTGGATTCGGGTCATTAAATCACCATGATTAAAACCAGGAAAGCAGGCATGGCGTGGTAGTTCACGCCTGTAATTCTAGCACTTTGGGAGTACGAGGTAGGAGGATCACTTTGATGTTAAGAGTTCAACACCAGCCTGTGCAAGAGCGAGATCCTGTTTCTACCAAAAATAGATAAAAAATATTGTCTAGTGCAGTGGCATGAGCCTATAGTACCAGCTACTCAGGAGGCTGAGGCAGAAGGATCACCTGAGCCCAGGAGTGTGAGCCCAGGTTGCAGTGAGCTTTGATGATGCCACTGCACTATAGCCAAGGGGACAAGCGAGACTCTGTCTCAAAAACAGAAAACAAGAACAACAATGAAAAATGGGAAAGCAAACACAGGGAAAGAACCACATGAATTTCCTCCACAATCTCCAAGGCTGAACATTCCAGGAAGCTCAATTGGTTAATCCTAGGTCACTCCCATATTTTGGCCATGGCAAGTCCTTCACTGGCTGAGCCAGTTGAAACTGGGAAATGAGCTGCTCTTATGAGATGTCTTCATAATCCATGTGATGCATATTTACAGCATTTAGTTCTATCTTGTTTTTTCTGTCCTTCAACTTAGCAATAACCATGATTGCAACTGTTTCATACAGTAATTGTTTTTCATTTACCCCTATTTTTAATTTATTCTATTACCATTCTTTCTTGTATCTGGAACCATCTTCCTATGATCATATTCCATCTTTTTAAATGACATTCTTGAGAAACTCCTTTAACATGATGTCTGTTGGTATAAACACACTGGGTTTTCATTTTCTCTCACGTTTCTACTTGTGAGTTAGGTTCTGCAGGAAGATGACACTGAGATGGAATTTAGTGTGCAGGAAAATGATTTAGGAGCAACAGCTGAGGAAAGGACAGAAGGAGGCAGATGTGGGCAGAGGGAGAAATGCATCTCTAATGTATGCAAGAAAAGCCTCTTCTGATCCCATGAGGAACTATGAAGATAAGAGGCCCGTTAGAGTTATTTCACATTGGGCAGTAATAGCCAGGTCTTTACACTCCCTCCACAATCAAGCAGTCAGTATGAGCCATCTAAGGAAGTGGGTTTGTGAGCTGGGGTAAGGCAGTGCTAAAGGCTGACGACTGGCACCTGCTTGCACCCCTAGCAGCTGAAAAAGGAAGTCTGTCCTTGATAGGGTATGGTCCATTTGAAAATCTATCATAGCCTCCTCCTTAAATGATACTTTGGCCAAGAATGCAACTCTATATGGATAGCTATTTTCTGTCAGATCTTGCATTTGGTTTCCACTTATTGATATAAGAAGTTTGACTGTCATTCCTTTACAGGCTATGTGTTTTTATTTATATTATTTTCAATTGACAAATCATAATTTTATCACACTTATGGAGTACAAGTGATGTTTTCATATATGTGTAAAATGTGGACTGATTAAAAAAAGCTAATTGACATACGCATCACCTTACATACTTGGTATATTTTGTGGTGGTACATTTGAAATTTATTCTCTTAGTTATTTTGTAATGTGCAATACATTATTATTGACTATAGTCATTGATCCTGCTGTGCAATAGAACTCAAAACTTATTCATCCTGTCTACCTGAAAATTTGTACCATTTTACTAGTAATTCCCTATCCCATTGAGTCTTGCCATCCACAGCTCCCCCCTGACATCCTCTAGTAATTATCATTCTACACTCTACTTCTATGAATTTAACTCCTTTAACATGGCACATAAAGGTGAGTTCATGTGGTATTTATCTATCTGTTTCTGGCTTATTTCACTTAGCATAATGTTCTCTAGATTAATTTGTATTGTTTTAAATGACAAAATTTTGTTCTTTTTAAAGAATGAATAGTATTCCATTGTGTGTGTGTGCGTGTGTGTGTGTGTGTTTGTATAATATATGACATTTTCTTCATCCGTTCATCTGTTGATGGACACTTAGATTGATTCTTTATCTTGGCTATTGTGAATAATGCTGCAATGAACATGGGAGTGCAGATATCCCCCTTCCAAGTACTGACTTCAATTCCTTTGGCTATATACCCAGAACTAGGATTGCTGGATCATATGGTAGTTCTATTTTTAGTATTTTGAGGAAACTTCATGCCACTTTCCATAATGGCTATACTAATTTAAGTACCCATCAATAGTGTACAAAGGTTCCCTTTTCTCCTCATCTTCCACAACATTTGTTATATTTCGCCTTTTGATAAAAGCTATTCTAACAGCTGTGAGGTGATATCTCATTATGGTTTAAATTTGCATTTCCTTAATGAGTAGTGATGCTGAGCATTGTTTCATCAACCCATTGGTCATTTGTATGTCTCTTTTGAAAAGTGTACGTTCAGGTCCTTTGCCCATTTTTAAATCAGGTTATTTGTTTCCTTGCTATGGAGTGATTTCAGTTAGTTATATATTATGAATATTAACCCTTGCTCCGGTTTGAATGTGTCCCCTGAAAGCATGTGTTGGAAATTGAATCCCCAAAGCAATAATGTTCTAAAGTGGAGCCTAATGGGAGGTGGAACCCTTATGAATGGATTAATGACAATTATAAAAGGGCTTGAGGCTGTGAGTTCAATCCCTTGTTCTCTTGTGCTTTCTTGCCCTTATGCCTTCCATTATGGGAGGATGGAGCAAGAAGGAGCAAGAAGGCCCTCACCAGATGGATGCATCCTGATAATGGATTTGCCAGACTCCAGAACTGTAAGAAATAAATATTTTGCAATAGGTTACCAAGTGGGTAGTGTTCTGTTATAGGAAAACAAAACAGACTGAGACAGACAATTTGTATTGAGAATTGGGGCTGTTGTTCAAAATGGGGAAGCAGCTTTGGAACTGAGGCTGGAAGACTTTTGTGGAGCAGACTAGAAAAAGTTTAGATTGCCATGAAGGGAGCATTAAGGGCAATTCTCGTGAGGCCTTAGAAGAAGATAAGGGCTGTCCAAAGACTCTCAATCTTTTTAAGGATACTTCAGTGGTCATTATCAGAATATTGGCAGAAATGGGGAGAGTAGTGGCCATTGTGATGAGATCTCAGATTGAAATTAGGGCAAGGTATTGGAAACTGGAATACAGACTGTCCTTGCTACACAGTTGCAAAGAACTTGGTAGAATTGTGTCCATGTCTGGAGGGTTTTATGGAAGACAGAATTTAAGAGCCATGAAGTAGGATATTTGGCTGAAGAAATTTTTAAGCAAAATACTGAAGAAACTGTGTGGTTACTTGAAACCACATATAGTAAAATGTGAGTAGAGAGAAATTATTTAAAGATGGAATCTATAATTTTAAGGGAAATAGGACAGAAAAACTTGGAAAATTCCCAGACTATCCATGTAAATAGTGAATAGGCATCTTTAGGAGAGTGAACCAAAGGTGTTGCCATGTGACCATTTGCTCAATAGATTAGACTGGCAGAAAGGATTCAGATGCTATTCATCAAGACTATTTGGAGAAAACATTTCAGTGATCTTCTGGGCAAGCGAGGGCCTTGACAGCGAGATTTCCAAAGAGGCACACGTAGAACTTCAGCATTTGCTGCTCTTCACTGCCTCAAGTCCCTGCCCCCTGTATCCAGCACAGTGCTCCTTGGCTGCTGTAGTCTTGACTCAAGCAGACCTAGATGAGGCTCATTCCACCACTCTGAAGGGCACAAGCCATATACCTTGGTAGCATCCATGTGGTGCTGACACTACAGATGTGTCAGCCTTACACGCTATAGCAGAATATGAGCCTTTATCTAGATTTTAAAAGATGTCGTGGATGGTCTGGGAGCCCAAACAGAGCTTCCGTCACAGGGAGGACCCACTACAGAGAGCCCTCTCTATGACAATGCTAAGTGGAAATGTAAAGTTAGAGCTGCCACAGAGAGCCCCCATTAGGGCAGGGCTACTGGAGCCATGAGAGGAAAGCCACTTCATAGACTTCAGAACTGTAGAACCACCAGTGTGCAACTCCATCCTGGAAAAGCTGCTGGCATGAGACTCCAACTGATTAGCTACTGGGTGGACTGAGCTCAGCAAAACCATAAGGGCATGGTGGCCTTGGT